GAAAAGTATAGAAAAAACATGAAAACACATAGTGTAAATCATCCCAAATGTGTCTTGGTTTTAAGTCCCCATTGTTCCCAAATTTGGCAAATCCTGTTTGGTTCACCCTAAAGGATCTTTTTAGGGCCCAACTCATGGCAGATTCCGAGACTTGGAAGTGACAATTTGCAGGACTTCCCCCCTTATAAGAGGCAACATCCCATCAAGTTAAACCATGGCTTTTCCGATGTTCTCATCAAACCATCTGGTTGGTGGTTTGGAACAACATTTGGATTATTTTTCCATATATTGGGAATAGTAAACCCAACTGACGAACTCATATTTTTCAGAGGGGTGGGTCAACCACCAAATCATGTTCCCAGCATCCCTGCTGAAGTCAGAACACTCCCAGGTCGAAGCCCGAGCCCGGGCGGCTTCGTGAAACTGGAGGGTGGCATGGTGAAATTCGCAGCGGCATCTTGGTGCTGCCGCAACTTGCGGGTGATGGGTTGGTTTCATGGACAATCCCCAGCTGGAAATGGATGATGACTGGGGGTATGACTTAGGAAACGTGTATATTGTTGAAATCTTGGATCTAACTTATCGAACCAAGCAACATGTGATTGGTTCGCCATGAGAATTGGAGACGCTGATTGATGATCTGCAAACATGGTGCTGCAACTGGCTGCAACTTGTCTTTTCAGAGAGAACCTTGGGTCAAGAAAGGGATTTGGGGATAGGCCATGCCTCTGCAGTTGTGCTCATAGATACTGGTGTACCAACGCTCAAGCCATTGTTTTTTCCAGATGGCTAGGGAAAAGCAACGCAACATATGGCAGAAATGACTAGAGATGGAAAGACATGGATATTTGAGACACTATAGTCATCCCCAAATAGATGGAACATATTTTATCCCTACAGAAAATGATGCTGAAAAATGTTTTTCCATCTATTTGGGGGATAGATTTTAAGTATACCATTGTGGAGGTCATGAATCAAAACAGCCCCGGACGCTGAGGATTCACCCGTGGACCATCTGCAGAGCTATACCCCAAGGGGCTTTGGGATGCTGCCAAAAAGGTCCAAGGACCATCTCCATGGGTTGCAGGGTACCCTCTGGTAAACTAACATAACTATGGAAAATCACCATTTTCAATGGGAAAATCCACTATTTCTATGGCCATTTTCCATAGCTATGTTAGTTTACCAGAGGGTATTGAAACTTGGGATTTACTCATGTTATGGCATGATTGATCCCCTGATGTCATGTTCTGTCCAAAATCTGATTGTTTTTGATTCATTTGAGTCGCGCGATGGATCCTACCACAATGTCAACTCTGATAATTATCCAACAAAATGGCGGCTTTTCCAGCTAGATTCAGCTAGATATGTCTCATCATTGGAGGGTATCGGGTATATGTATCTATCATTAATGGCTAGCTATGTCCCTATATGTTTGATGATCAAAAACCCATTGGGGTTCCAAAAAAGCGTGCAAAAACAATGATATTGGCCATTCTTGGTAGTAAGATACCATCCGAAACGGAATTGATATGATTGGATACCTAGCACCAGTGAAGAATTGTTACAATGTGGGGCCCCGGTTATAATTTGATTTATATACATTGTTTACATAACCCCGTTACTTGTAGTTATAAGATGTTATAAGATGTTATAAGTATCTATAGTTTGCATACTGTAGATATTGGAGTTCTACAACTGAGCTATCGCTTGGGGCCCCCACTTTGACACGAGACCTCCAGCAGCGACGACGGGGGTTCAGCCAAACCTCATCATGGAGGTCCGAAACAAATTAGGACCGTAATTGGCTATAAAACCCCAAAAACCATCAAAAACCCAGATCATCCATTGATGTTCTTTTTCCACTTCAGATCAGTGTGGTAATATGTTACGTATACCCTAAGCAGATGGCACGGCTTACAAGCCATGTTCGGTGCAAAAAACGCCAGGGTCATCCATAACAACCACCTGAGCGGTGTCTAGACCCGCATCCCCAATGGGGGTCACAGGAGCGAGCTTTGCCCAGCTTTCATTTGGACAAAAAGCCCCGGCGCGGTCAAAACGACTTTCGCCCCCTGGCGTCGACAAAACGGCCGATCGACGAGATTTACCAGAAATTTCGACATGTTTCAACTAAGCCGGTGGTGCAAGAGTGATAAATGATGTTAAATGGAAATCCATACCTACTTAGATTTAGAATGATTTAGATATGTCTTTTATATAGTCGATTTATGTCGATTTATTATGTCTTTGCAACATTTCTGTTGTTGCACTTAGTAGGCTCAGAAGATGATGCTATACATGTGATTAGTCTTGTTGACATACCAAGTCCCTCAATTCAAATTACTTGCAGAACGAAAAGCCATGGTATTTGGAGATAACAGCTGGTGAAACGGCAAAAACCATCAGTGAAATCCTGCAGAAGTTGGTTTCTTATGCCAAGATGATGACATGTCATGTCAATGTGGTTCTGAAATTGCAAGATTCGAACAATGAAAATCGCCCAACATATCAAAACGGTGAGACGGACCCAATCATACATATCAATATATAATAATGTATATATATATATTTATACACCATCCTTGGTGTTGATATACCAATCTATAATGTTAAAACCAATATGATATATATATATATAATTATATTATTAAGGCTATCATAATAATATATAAAGATATATAAAGCATATCTTTGGTGCTAGTATGCTACTTTTAGATACTACCATAGTATATATAACGCTTTAAATAATATATATATATATATATGTATGTATGTATATTATATATATATCACCATAGTACTGTATACATACAGGGCTTCACTGAGGTCGCGGCTCTTCCATGTTCCGTCGCTCCTTCACGACGCCCGCGCAACGGAAGGCGGGCAAACGTTTTTTTTGAAAGTTCTGGTGAACTGGAAGGGTAATTTACATACGTTAAATACAACTCGTTTTGTTTGCTTTATATTTGTATATGATATGTGTATATATATAATTATATATATATGTATTAAGTATGCAACTATACGATTACATAGAGAGAGAGAGAGCAACGCGCAAAAAGATAGAAACAAGTCCCACTACAATAAATAGTAAAACCATAGTGATAAATCATGTCTCTAGTAAAAACATAGTGATAAATCATGTCTCTCTCTTTTTTGGGGTTACTACATGATTATCATTCATGGACCATGAATTTGTTGTCGGTATCCAAGATTTGCCCATTGATTTCCCTGAACTCACATTGCAACCCCAGGTCATAATGTTTCAAGGCATTTACCCTCTGGTAAACTAACATAGCTATGGAATAAACTCTATCAAAATAGATAAATCATCTAAAAACGGCCCATGTTCCTGGCTATGTTAGTCTACTGGAGGGTACAAAAGCATGGGATACTGCATGATACAACCACATTTATTTGGGTTGTTGATGATTTTTCTACTGGGATGAACACCCACACAATTTTCACTAATTTTCCCTTGCCTACCCTCTGGTGAACTAACATAGCAATGGAAAATCACCATTTTTAATGGGAAAATCCACTATAAATAGCCATTTTCCATTGCTATGTTAGTTCACCAGAGGGTAAACTTTGTTGGTGACCCAGTAATCAAACAGGTTTTTTGGATATCGATATCAATGTATATGGAGGATCACGGAGCTTCATGGGGAAATCATCGATGGATGATGGCTTGCCATGATCTTTTAGATCAATGATCATGTTCTGGTTGGCAATCCTGTTTGGCATCTATAATAAAAGATCATGGCACTAAAAGATCATGGCAATAATAAATTTTCCCATGAGTATTGCCCAATGATTATTGCATATGGAAATTTGATGGAAATATGATGATTATTGCCATGATTGATTAGCGGAGGGTAGATCATCGATCTGAAATATTGCTATTGGGAGCGAAGGGTCATTTTTGTACATCCGTACATCCCACTGAAGATTCATGGTCCAATGGTGCTGGTAAAGAACGACTTTCATGGCACAGAAGCAGCCATAATTACATGAACGCAGGTAATATAGTGGCTGTGGCAGTGACTTAGCTACCAACTTTCCATGAATTGGATTTGGTTTAACCAACAAATTGCATGAAATAAACTTCTGGAACTTTACCGCGACTTCACAAGGAGCTCACTAAAAGAAATTGCTTCAGCATGGCAATCCAGAAATTATGGCAATTGTCCAGTTCATGATTTCACTGGAATCTTTTCATTCAAGAGACCATCTTAGATCTCTTGGATGGTCCAGACATTGATTAAGCATAAGCATGACAATAATAGCGATGATGATGAAGACGATGCTGATAATGCAGGTGATGATGACGACAACGACGATGATGATGATGATGAGGATGATGCTGGTGACGACTATGATGGTGACAATGCTGACGATGCTGCTGCTGCTACTGCTGCTGCTGATGATGATGATGCTGCTGATGATGATGATCATCATGATGATGATGATCATCATGATGATGCTGATGATGATGATGATCATGATGATGATGATGATGATCATCATCATCATCATGATGATGATGATGATGCTGATGATGATGATGCTGATGATGATTGATGATCATCATGATGATGCTGATGATGATGATGCTGATGATGATGATGATGATTGATGATCATCATGATGATGCTGCTGATGATGATGATGATCATCATGATGATGATGATGCTGATGATGATGATGATGATGATGATGATGATGATGATTGATGATCATCATGATGATGCTGATGATGATGATGATCATCATGATGATGATGATGATGATGATCATCAGGATGATGATGATGATGATGCTGATGATGATGATGATCATCATGATGATGATGATGATGATTGATGATCATCATGATGATCATGATTGTGATCATGGAAAACAAGTTACAAGATGCTACAACATCGAGAACAAAAAACAACTCCCTTCAATGTCCCTCGGTTTCACCCCATGCGCTGAGACATCACTAGGAGACCATGTCGCTCTACGAGCGATCGCTGACACGGAGGATGTTGGGCCGCGGACGCAGCGGACGCAACGCGCGGAGCTTCAGCAAAAACTTGGCCGTGCAGGCCTTGCTGAGAAAACAAAAGGCGACGGCAGGGGGTGACATGATGTGTTCATTGCGGTGAAATTCTGTTTTTAATGAAACATGTTTGGGAATTTTCAACCAGATCGTTTGGGGATGTACCAGTACAGCTGACAAGAACTGGATTTGAGCAAGACTAAAAGTAGCCTCAATGTAAATGACAATGACATGACAATGATGGTTCATATATATAATTATATATATATATATGTTCATATAGTTTTTTTCAGGACATCATCCCAAATGTCCTCCTAGCATGTTAGGTTTGTCAATCATCATTAAATTTGTTGTTTAATGTTGTTTTTTTTTTTTTATCAGACTACGGTAGAGTCCCGGGAGAGTGAGAACCATTGATGCCCCTGTAGTGTCAGAACACGAGAAACTTGGGGAGCGATGAGACGACCCAGTGCAACTTTTGGCATATCAAAATCCACCTTTCGTTCCGGCCGGAAAATAGAAAAAAACACGTGGAGGTGTACGGGAGAATTGAAACCTCAGTAGGTTGGTTGGTTCCACTTGAATGTGAAGGATGATTCTATTGCACTTCATTGTGTCGGTCAACGGGTTGAACCAACAACGGAACATGGCTGGCTTCGCTCGCTTCTTCCGGCGATCGGAGAAAATTACACCACTTTCCAGCGTCCTAAAGGTCATATGTATACAAGTGATATCAATCAGATACAATCAAATCATACTACACATGTGAGGTACTACTGTACATATAATTAATACTACACATGTGAGGTACTATATATATACAGTAGATTTACACTATATATATATACTATATACTATATACTATATATATACTATTAATACTACATATATATAAGTTATATAAGTACAATAGATGATTTGTCAATGATTTCCCATGTTAGGCCACCAGCAAGCCGTTGGCCCGGCGCATCTCTGAGGTGGGGATTTTGTTGGATGATTTCGGCTGGGATTTCACAGCCAAAAAATGGAGTGAAACCATCAATTGTTGGATTTTTATAGGTTTTTCATGGCTATATAAATGTGGATACAAATATGTTGGATTGAACAAAACTTATATGAAACATATATACGTATATATATATATGTATATATATATATATGTATATGTATATGTATATATATATATATATATTATGTATAATGAGATAATTAAAGCGGGGCACCCTTTGTTTTGAATCTCTTTTTCTCCATCTCCAACACGGCTTTTACAAAGCGTTCCCATCATGCGAGACTGTAGCCTTTTTCGCCTCGTGTGATCCAACCTTGGGGGTTCAATCCGAAGGATTCGCCTCTGTTTGCTATGGAAAGATCCACCACTTTTATTGGGTAAATCCACTATTTCGACTGGGCCATGGCTTCAATAGCTATGGCTATGTTAGTTTACCTAGAGGGTAAAGCAACTATTTCGAAATGACCATGTTCAATGTCGCAAAGTGTTAGTTTACCAGAGGGTAATAGGAATTTCCTCTTGGGCACTTTGCTAAAAAGGAGTGTGTATCAAAGGCATGTCCCAAGTCAACATCAAAACCAATTTTTGGGTTTAGTGAATTCCATGTTTTGCTGGTTGAGTCTCCATAAATCACCCTTTTTCGCTACTGACATTATGACATTTACACTTTTGGTTGATGAACTCCATTGTGTTGAATTACAATCATTAATTTTGGTGTGTCAACTCCCATGTTTGATCATGTTTGTTGGATGTGTGTGGTGAAATGCAAATTCGTTGCTGACGGCTCAGTTTTTTCTGGATTGACATATCCAGCATCTCGCTCATTTTTTTGCCTCCAATTTGCACAGATCCACCCCACCATTTGGCACTGGTGCACCTCAATGCCAAAGAACATCCATCCATCCCTTTTGGGTGTGCAGTTGTACTGAACTAAGTGGATGTCACCATAGCTATAAGGGTTATATCCCAACTTATGAAGGCTAAAATGCCAACGTATGAAATCATCGAAGTCAGCCCCGGCCTGCACCCCCAAACTTCAAACCCGGTCCCCTGCCAGGTGCGTCGGGGCTCGTTGGCCTATCAGCTGCAGTCCTTTGCACGCGACGTTGGCGCTGGCGCTGGCCCTGGCGCCAGCAGCGTGACGCTGGGAGCTGGCGGCTCCATCGCGGTCTGGGAGCCAGAACTCTTCCAGCCATTTTCAGGGATTGCACGTAGGCTTTCGTGGCTTCTATATCCCATAGGATCCATGTATGCCATATAATTATAGTAACATTTACCATCAATATACCCCAAATGTTACCATATATGGCATACATGGATCCTATGGGATATGTGAAATATTGTGTGGGAACACCGACAAAAATCGGTCATGTCCGGTTCATTTTGCCCTTAAGAAGGACCCGAATCGTGTTGGATTCTTAAATGGGGGGATTCGTATCGGATGATGAACACATGCTGAACTATGTTATTATTTCTTCACCAAATTATTCAAAAACTGAACGATCCTTTTGGGATTTGGAATTTGCAACATGTTTTCATAGGTCAAAGTCAACCATTGGGACCGGGACAGGTCATGATTTTTTTCTGCAAATTGGCCAAATTGGGCTATAAATAGCGACCTTTTTGCACCGATTGGAACTAACTTTTTGTAGGCGATCCAAGCGATCTGTGAAGGTCACCCACTATGCGCCGGTGGCCAAGCAGCGCCGCAAGATGCGCGGCAACACCAAGCCCCGGGTGCGGGTGACGTCGCACCAGGCGAGGCTGGTGGATGCAAACCCGGGTGGGTTGAATATGGTTGATTTGGAACTTCAACTAGTCGATGTAACCCCCCATAAACCCTATAGGTATTGCATCGAGAATCAAGTTTGTTTTTTTCCTGAAAACCTTTTTGTGTTTTTATTGTTTGGGGGCGCATTGTACGTAAAATATATAATATATATTTTATGTACAATGCGCCCCCAAATATAGTAACCCAAAAACATGTAGAAAAGTTAATTCCGACTGAACAGTGATGAATTACGTTCCTATGTTTTATGTTTTTTTGGGGGTACTAGGTAGTTAGGTAGGTAGATATAGAATGATATAGATAGATAAACAGAGAAATATCATGCATATATTTATTATCATGTTATATCATTATATTACCATGCGATTGATCAGTCATGTTATATATATATATATATATTTATGCATATAACATGCTCCTGTACACATGATTGTGGATAAAAGCATGGACAACCCAATAGCTAGAAGTATCAAAAACCATGAATATAATTGGTTTATAAACCCCATGAATAGATGTGACTAGTATTGTTTTTTTCAACTTAAGTATCAAAAACTATTGTGAAATTGAAGTTATGTTCAGCAACGAAACGCGATTTCGTCAACGGGGTCCCCGCTACAAGTACCCATCTGGGTTTGTCGTAGTGAACACCAGCCGCACCAAATCGGTTGAGAATTAGGTTCCCTATCAAGAAAGCCGTAAAATACGTAGGTTCACCCCTTTGAAATGGTCACACCGAAATCTATGAAATTAAAATTCAGGGGTTATATGCCCCAAAGAGTATACTTCTCTCCATAAAATGCTACATCTTTATACTTCCCCAATGTTTTTGGTTAAACAAAAACCATCAACTTCGCCAAAAAATCGCAGGAGAGCTTGGTGCCAGAGGTGCCAAAGCCCACCATTCGGCCCAAGTTCGATGGCTGGACCAAGCAAGAGCCGGGTCAAGGTGGGATACAGAAAGATGTGGAAAACCCATATCAATGGTCATCTCAGGAACCTAAATTGGAGGTACCTACCATATATAAGGCCCATGTAAGGCCTATGTAAGGGAATATCCCCCGAAAATATGGCCTTATATGGTACAGTACCTCCATTTTAGGATCCTGAAATTCCCATTGACCATAGGTGAAACCCTTCGGAAAGGATCTAGAAATTCATGGTTCTTCAATATATTTCTTCTAAGTAAAGTTGTGAACCATAGGATGAATAGTTACGTGATCTTTCTTCCCTCTCTAGCAAAAGTGTTCTCAAAAGTGGGTGTTTTTTTCGGTTTGTGCGCTTTGTGCTTGGTCCATCGGTCCAGCGCACCCCGGGTGCCATTGTTTGGAATTCAGCCATTTTTGTTTGGATGGGATGATACTACATGATACTACTACATCCGCGTATCTTCACTGTATGTAGCCGGAACTTGTGGGTATTTGTTTTCAATCCTGTTATCATGTTGGTCATATCCACATTTTTCCAGAAAAGCAAATCCCCACTAATGTGGTCACCCAAGAAGAAACTATCCCCAGTTTTTTCTATGAAATTGGGTATACCGGTATACCATGGTATACCCCTATTATTTGGGACTATATTCAACATACCATTAACCAGGGATTGGTAAATGTCATATTTTTGGGATATTGGACACCACCCTTTAATGGCCATTATAGATGATACACCTCATGGTTGGGTGATGTTCAATTGGGACGTTTAATGACCCATGTTAACCCCCTCATTGTTCCTGGTATCCCATTTTCCATGGTTAAACCCATTCAAATAACCACATCCCCAGTTTTCCGTTTCGCCAGGTGTAGTCCTGTCCCCGCGTCTGCGGAGGGCGCTTCTTTGGGATGAAGAGGACCTTGTTTTCAACGTTTGAGGTTTATGACTAGCCGGCTATACCCTCTGGTAAACTAACATAACTATGGAAAATCACCATTTTTAATGGGAAAATTCACTATTTCTATGGCCATTTTCAATAGCTTTTTGTATGTTTACCAGAGGGTACGGCTATACCCATGTGATATTTTTCATGACGGGTTCGTGGGATGTTGATGATGTTGGTTTACCACATCAGAATTCCCATTTTGGATATTATGGGATGGACGACCACAAACGATATATCAATATATATATATATATCATATTTTGACACGAATGCACTACCAACTTGGCCACTTGGTGGGGGAAAGATGCAAAAAGATGTGGGTTTCACCCATGGTGAGACACACGGAAAGTGGTCGGAACATGCATGGTGGCTTTTCCACATCTCATCTAAGTAAACTTTCACAGGATTTTTTTAAATATCTCAACATGTAGGGATATCACAGGGATATGATGATTATCATTGGCATTGTGTTATTCAATGGGGATTATGTTGAAGAAATGAATGTGTGATAGGGTTATCATGGTTGATTATATAACTTTGGATAAACTTTGGATTGAAAGTCCCAAAATTATTTGTTTTTCTTCAGGAATGGATATGATCACTTTTTTGTACGAACTAGACAGCAACAATGGATTTCTACATGGGGGTTTTCAAGTCGTGGCCTAAGTTTCCCGAAGCTATGGTTACTTAGCCGTAGAAAGGCCGGTGATGAAAATCATCACCAGTTTCAAGGGTGACCACTGGTGACCACTGGTAGAACAAAGAGAAAGACACATGGAAAATACATGTTTAAGTTTGGGGGGCAGCAGATTCGAAAAAAAAAAATCATCTATAGATTGTTCATATTGTTCCGAAATGTCATTTTCCATGGCAATTTCCATGGTAATTTCCCGCCCTAATGATTCTCCATGGAGCCTCCAATAGAATTCTCCATGATATCATGATTCATCCCAGAAATCTTGGGAAATTTCCTCCAACATAATCCCATCTGCAGAAGTCCCACAGGCCGCCCCACAACCCGCTGCACCCTTTCGGCCGCCGCCCGCGGCGCCGGCGCCGGCGCCATCGGCAAAGAGCGCGGTCGTGGCAGCGCTGGCGGCACAGAGCCCGGGCGAAGCATCGGTGACGCAGGAGGAGTTTCAGGGTGGAGATGTAGATGGGCCATGGAGTCTAGTTGAGGTTGGTAAAATCCTGAATTATACAGGGTCAGGGTGGTAACTTGTGCCGAGGTTGTCTTCTTGTGCCGCAAACGGTGTGACGTTGGGAAGTCCATGATATACATGTCATTCTTACTGGATGAATCAATTGTTTGTGGCATTGATTTTTCTAACGCTTTGCAGGGGCACACATGTTTTTGAGATATATTCGTTTTGAGATAGAAACTCATGGGGATGGCTTCTCAATAGCTTGACTCACACAGAAGAGAGAACAGTAGAAGAGACGAGTAGAGTAGAAGAGGCTATATACAGAAGAGTAGAGAAGAGAATCGACTTGAAGAGTAGAAGTGATTAGAGAGGCGTAGAGCAGAGAAGGGAAGAGTAGAAAGGATCCCTGCCGCCTTGTCCTGCTGCTTTGCCTTGCAAAATCCTGCTTTGCGTTGCAAAATCCCGATCTCGTACAGATCTCGTAAAGACCTCGTAAGGATCTCGTAAAAATCACGCTGTCAAGCGGTACCTTGAATATCTCCGTGCCATTGTGCTGTGTTGTTCAGTGCTGGAATGTTCCTGGTGTGCCACTGGGAAAAGCGTTTTCTGAGTATATTTTTCCCAGGGTAGGAATGAGAGTCCGCCAATGAGAATGACATGTAGAACTCCTGGTCTTCTAGAGTCAAGCTGATGGTGTGCCATGCGGTTTACAACGCTTTGTGCCAGGTTTAAGATAGATAAAGAAAAAACGGATACGAAAGGTACAAAGCGCTGCAGTCCGCAGAGGAATTTCATGAAAACAATGTGCACATATATGGATAGGTGTCGGTGTGCCGTGGTGATTTGGCTATGGCGCAAGTTCTTTAGGTCGGTTGTGGGGTAAGCTGTGTGCCATGCGGTGGGGTAAGATTATAGGTTGTGGCGTAAGTTACCACCCGTGCTCGTAACAGTAGTATGACATAGAGCCGATCGAGCTGTAAAAATTGGATGGTATGCGTTTATAACATTTTATATATCATTATAACATGTCATAACTCACTTGCCAATGTTTTTGCAGCAAAGTGTTTCAGATGTTTGTTGGACAACTTGACAATTCATTGCCATTTACGAGTGCATGGCTGATGTCCAATTTTCTCACTGGTTGGTTGATCATGGTTGATCAATAGATCAAGAGGCTCACTCCCTCCACTTTTCAGAACGCAAACTTATGATGAGTGGTATACAGTATACCAATCTGCTCCCACAACATTTTTGCCACAAGGACCAGGTAAATGATGATAAGTGTTTAAATCCTCATGAAAAAGAGGGATTTGCATGGATTTGCCAAATGTATCTCCCGTCTTGATGGTTTTTCAACCCCTTTCATTACCGAACATATCCAAACATGTTGATTACCAGGTCTTCTCGGATCCAGAGTCGAGTTTGCAGGCTCCACCACCACCGAGCACCATGAAGGAAGGTGGGACGCATGGGAAGCTGAAGCTGACAGATGCGTGCGGGGTCGTAGTTTGGCTCAGAATACCCGAAGAAACCAATAGCTGGCTCAAGCTTGGGGCCCCTCCGTTACGTTTGTTGGTTTACAAACCCCATGAACTATAGTTATAAGATGTTATAAGATGTTATAAGATGTTATAAGATGTTATAAGATGTTATAAGATGTTATAAGATGTTATAAGATGTTATAAGATGTTATAAGATGTTATAAGTTTAGCATCATAAACCATAGTGAAATTGGAGTCATAAACCAATTTTGCTATCGTGGGGCCCACTTTGAAGCAACAGACACACCCAATGTTGCAAGGTGGTGCCCCACAGTTGGCCAAGTTTGTTTGCAACTAGTTTATATAACTAATTCTAGCTCTAGAATGCTTTAGGGTAGCTGGCGTAAGCTATAGTTATATATAATATATTATAATATACTGTGCACAGTATATGATATATATATATAATATATCTATCAGATCGAAGTATATCATGTATAGTCTTCAAACAAAGGCAAAGTGGGGCCCCCAAACGATAGCTAAGTTGGTGAACATATCCAATTTCACTCTGGTTTATGATACGCAAATAACTATAGTATTCATGGAGTCTTTTTTGATCCAACTACAATATATAATCGTTAAAACACTATCGTATTCATTGAATTTATAAACCAACTATACGCAATTATAATCCTTTAAAATTCTAAAATGCTCTTTTACCCCGTCAATTTCGTAGTTTCGCATTCTTCTTTGGGTACTTGGAGCAGCACCACCAGGTGCAGCCCCCGACGCCGAAGCCGCTTTGGAGCTGGCGAAGAAGATGCCGCTGCTGCCCGCGAGGTCGGGGGGGATCAGAATGGAGCCCCTGGTGGTGTGGAAACCCTAGGAAAACTAGAGGAAAACCATAGGAAAATGGAGATTGAAAGAAATATGCGGATTTCAGTGGGATTTAGAGCTGATTTAAAACTTTCAATGGAATAATCATGGGATAATTCATGCAATGCGGAGCCCCCAGTCGATAGCTAAATTGGTGGAAATAATTACAATGTCTGTTGGGTTTATGAGGAATATATCAACTATTTACATGAGGTTATAAACAAATTTATAACTAGGCAGCATCACTTTGCAACTATTCAAAACGTTTTTTTAGATTAGTAACTATATGTAATTGTCATAACATTTATTATAAAACATGGGCGGGTTGTCCAAACATGGCGTGAGTTAGATGGGATTGAACCCACAATAATCACAAAACATAGGAATGATAGGGATTCAACCAGCAAATGGAGATTAACCTGTTCGAAAAATGATAGTAATGATATTTGGTGGTTCATCCCACTTAGTAAGTGGGTTATAACCCCAGTTATAAATGGGATAAGTAGGGTTAATCCACTTATAACTGGGGTTATAACCCACTTACTAAGTGGGATGAGCCACCAAGTAGGAATGATATGATTTCCCAAATTGTCCGAAAATGGAGGACGTCCAAAAACTATGATGGGAACAGGGAACATGATGATCTGCTGGAATTTCACAAGGTCGCCCAGAGGGTTTACCAATGGGGAGCCAAGACGGTCCGTACCTCATAGATTTTTTTTGGCAAGAATACCCTCTGGTAAACGTTTACATATAATGGAACATCACATGGTTTTTATGGCTAAATCATGGTAAATCAACTATTTCGACTGGGCCATTTTCAATAGCAAACTGTTAGTTTACCAGAGGGTATCTCCAATGCATTTCGACAGACTTTTGTTTACCTTATGTTCCGCAGTTTGGGGGGCAGGGATTCATCAATCAAAGATGTCATTCACGTTGGGATTCAACCAATGGAAAACTTGGGATATTCATGGATTAGCATCACCTGCATGGGTCGTTGTTGATGGTTGTTTGATGTTGTTTGTGATAGAGCTCCCCCCAGTAAAACCCCAGTTTGGAAAGGATAAGTTGGTTAAGATAACTATGATAACTAGTAGCTAGGGTTTATGATTCCTACATGTACATGAAGCATTTTGTAACTGGAAATTCATGGCATTTATAAACTTTAACATCAACACAGGGGTTTTGCACCACATCGTTGCTAGGAAAATGGCCGAAATTCCCGTGGACGAGGCGGGGGTCCAGCAGGCTGCGGGAATGTGGAGTCATGGTGTCCTGTAGATGGCCTGTAGATAAAATGTCCCCAAAAAACCGCATTAAAACCTTAAACATATTAATTAAACATGTTTAAAACATCTTATATAAACCAATCCATTGATGATTTGATGGTTGATATTTTGATCGGGATTCATGCAAGTGGCATGGTACCACGACGTCATTGACGGAGATGTTCAGGAGCAAGACACGAAGTGCTATGTCTAGGAAAGATAACGTTACATAATGTTATATACATATCATATTCAGAAAAAACAAACACAACATCCCCCCTAGCGCTAGTAGATTTGCTTTATTTATTGAACAGCGAGGGTTTCTGATTTCTGTCCATTGGTATCTTTGCTGAAGGGCACATCACCCCGATTTCCACCTCCAGATCATCAGCTGCAGTGTTGTATTGGGTGGTTCTCTTCGAGATTATCTATGTGAAATGAACCATTTCATCCACCGGCAACATTTTTTAAACAACTTGCTCAGAAAAAGCACTTAAGAAAAAACAAATAAAACCGCAAAAAACACATGTTCAATGGCTCCAAGAAAAAGAACATGTTCAACGTTCTGGTTTGAAGTTGTGGCAGTTATAACATACAAGTTGTATGTTATAAATATATTATGCTATGTTATGCCACAACTTCAAACCAGAACCCTAAGAAGCTTCAGCAGTTTTCAACAGTTCAGCACGATCGCAGGCCAGCGCTCGCTTGAGGATGAACCTGATGCTCTTCCAGCGCAGTCGAGGCCGAAAATCCAAAAAGGGAAAATCCATGGGACAATCCATGGGACAATGAGAAATCCATAGGAAAATAGCGGAAGAACCATGCAAGAGATCAGATTAAATATGATTACCCTCTGGTAAATAAACATAGACCCTGAAAATAACCCATTTTTAATGGAAACTAGTCTTCCAACCCCGACAACTGCCAGGGTCTATGTTAATTTACCAGGGTAAATCACTAAAATCCCTAAATGCCCTTTTTTTTACTTGGATTTTGGGAATGATCATTCCCAATCCCAATTTTTGTTTGATAGTTCCCAGTAAGTTTTCTATCTTTCTTGGTTAAATTCGGGATTTTATCCCATTAAATCCCACTTATCTAACCCATTCCGTATCCCTACTTTGGGGATAGTATTAAATCCTTAATTTGCGTTGGGAATGCTGGTTAGATCCATTTAGATCCCATAAAAATCCCAATAATCCTCGGATAATTCCTATTTCCCAATTTTTGCTCGATAAGTCCCATCAAATCAGCGATTTTTCCTGTATTTTTCCCACAGTTATGGCCCTTTACCAGTTAAAAGTACTTATAACCCCATTTATAGAATGTATAATCCCATTTATAACCAGTTATAAGTAATAAATGGCCTTAACTGCATAAAACCCCTTAATTCCTGGTCAGCATCTGCCCCAGTGCTTCCAGTGCTTTCAGGCGATTCACCAGGCCCTCCCATTGCTCCAAGGCGCGGGCCTGGAAACCATAGGATTTTTCATGATTTTCCCAAATGGATTGGGGGAACCCCGGGTTTTTCATGGTCCCTTAAAGCATCCCAGTGATTACCCTCTGGTAAACTAACGTAACTATGGAAAATCACCATTTTTAATGGGAAAACTCACTATAAATGACCATTTTCAATAGCTATGTTACATTACCAGAGGGATCCAGAGGGTACCTTTTGGTAAACTAAAAGTTTGCGAACTGGAAAATGGCCATTGAAATAGTGGATTTACCCATTAAAAATTGTGGTTTTCCATAGTTATGTTAGTTTACCAGAGGGTATAATCCCCATATATTGGGTAGTATAATCCCTTATAATCATCAACCAACAGGCGTTTTGAACACTGCTCAATTGGAGTGAACCAGAAAAATCGTGTGATTTAAGCAGCACAACATGGTGATTGAAGATGATGGAGCGATTCGATGATTTAAGATTTAACATCTACAGTAACCATTTCACCCACTGAACATGAACTGTTGTGATTTAAACGTCGCAACAATTAGGATCATCAACATGAGTAAACAGGAACCTCAATCAGATGTAATGGGGACTAAATACCAATAGTAGGGGATTTGTATAATGGGAGTTGAGCACGTATTAAATTGCACAATGAGAAACCAATGGGGCTAAAGCGACTAACATAGGGCCTTTGTTGGGATTGAATAGAAAAAATAGCCAAAAGATCTTGGGACATGGGGTTTGACCAACCAACATACAAAAAAGAATACGGAAATAAACAGTGGTTGGATTTTGCCGACCAACAATGGGATCATCCGGGATATTCAACTAAAAAGATCCAACACGTGGATTTTTTTTAGCCCACTAAGCTGCGATTGTAACCTACCAATCTCAAAAAGTTCAGGTGTTTCACCAAATTTTTGAGATGATGACTTCAGGAAAAAATTCCCCTTGCGAATCATTTTTCTTCAGTTGGGAAATGCCCGTTTTGAATGGGACATTCGGGACATGGATATGTGGGTCATGCTCCATGGCCTCCATGAGGGGTTAAATCTCCACGTTTCCCCCAGTGGTTCAGTCAGTCCTGGCTCTTCCGTCTTCGGATGGCCTACAAGTTCCACATGGCAATATATAGAAAATATGGTGATTTCTGGGGAAATATGGGAAATATATGGTGATTTATGGATGTTTACCCGGCCTGGTAAACTAATAGTTTGCGAACTGGAAAATGGCCCAGTCGAAATAGTGGATTAACCCAGCTATAAAATAGTGATTTTCCATAGCTATGTGAAAGTTTACCAGAGGGTAAATCCAATGTCTTGGTGATTGAACCAACTGTGATAGTTAAATGCCAACTTGTGTAGCTTAAATTTACGTTTTGTGGGGAAAATCCAATTGATCTCTGGTCATGCTAGTCCAGGATTAACAGTCCAATGCTCGCTTAAAAAAAACTGGTACTAGTACCAATTTTAATAGCAATTTATTGATTTTATCATTTGTTTGGTGATTCTCCAGTTCTTTTTGTCCAGGTATAAAATTCAGAGGGGTTGACTGCCTCGTAACTCGAATCCGGTTGACATACTCAATTCGTAACTCCTCTGGTGGCACCCCAAAAATAATCATTAATATCATCCAAGTCAGGCCATTTGAGTATTGAACCCCCATGGATTTTGAGGTACCCAACCTGGTTATGACTAACAGTTCGCCATGGTGGCGCCATGGCCCATGAAAACAGATGATTTTCCCAGCGAACGAAACCATAAACCTCCATTGATTTTGGGGATTTTCCAGTTCGCATTGGTGAGTCATGTCCCCAGATGGTACCAGCAGTTTAGGACACAGATAGAAAGATAGCTCCAAACAGCTCCAGCGATTCCCTGACCTTTGACATCTTCAGGCAGCCTTTGCCCCAGCTGATGCTTGGAAGTAGGGCCGACCGCCAAGCAAGACATCTGGGGATCTACGTAACATAGAGGTATTTTCTATGGGATTTTTCAGCACGCCAGCAACATGGGAATGCCACCCATGAAAATAGAAACGCGGATGTTTGATCAATGATTTCGAAGCTGAAATCAAGATATTTCAAGACGTTTACCCTTTTTTGGGCGAGGGGTCAAGATCGGCTGCAAGAACTTAGACATTTGTCAACTGAACATAGGGGAATTTAACCAAACAGCATCTGGTTTCCCCCTTGAACGAGCTACTAGTAACCAAGCCACAATCGGTCGTTGGTGAATTCTATTCAAATTTGTCATATCTTATCATTATATGATATTCTATGATAAATAAATGGATCCGCAAATGATCCATTACATATATAACATTATATATATATACATATACACATATTATATGAATTTATATGATACAATTCTCATTATATATATATAGCTATGATACAATTATATATGATTCACCTCGTTTTCTGTTGATGAATTGTATCCACATTTTAATATTCCTTCATCAGTCATCACTGTCATCCCTTTCAGCTGGACTCAAAGAATCAGTCCAGTCCCAGGGCCCCAGATGGAAGAAATTCTGCACCACCAATTTGGGATGACTGAAAGCCTATACCCTCTGGTAAACATACAAAAAACTATGGAAAATCACCATTTTTCATGGGAAAAACCACTATATGGGTATGGATCAATACCTATAGATACATTACTATAGTGGGATGAACATCCATAAATCCCAGCTATTTTGATGTGAACTACAGGGGTACCAGGGTTTTGACACACTGCCATATGATTAATATGGCATGTTTGCCACCTATCAACCGGTGATTCGGATTTCGCTGGCCCATAAAAACAGTATGTGAGTAAAATTCATAATAATTCACCGACAAAAAATAGTGTAGTATAGTAATTTAGTCTTTGCTTTGCCTTGGCCTTTCCGAGGTTGCACAAAGCCATAAAATAACCGCTAGGGGACGACCCTAGCGGACTAGCGATACCCCATTGGTGACTTTTTCCGGGAATCCTGTCATCCCCAAGAAGATGGGAGTTGACTATTTTTCTATCCTTTTGAGGTATACAGTATTTAATAGATACACAATGCATAATACATACATAATACATGCATCATACATAAAATAATACATATTCATATTTATCAAAAGATACATAATACATACCTGGTTGGTGGTTTCAAACATTAATGGATTATTTTCCATTTCATATACAGCCTGTATGGGATGTCATCCTTCCCATTGACGAACTCACATGGCGCACCGCCAAGGACCACCACTCCCAGGCTTCCCGGGGCAGACGCCGCTGTCAACGCTGACGCGCCGAAGAAAGCGGTCCCCGCCATGCCGCAGTTCTCGAGTCAGAGCCTGAGATCTGAATTCTGGGGGCAGAAGTAGATGTATGATGTTTGGAATGTAGATTTACCCTCTGGTAATTTAACATAGCTATTGAAAATGGCCATTTATAGTGGTTTTTCCCATTAAAAATGGTGATTTTCCATAGCTACGTTAAATTACCGGAGGGTAGTATAGCTAGAATTATAGATTTCTTTGATTGTTTGGGTATTTGGAGATGTTGGGTGTCTTCTACAGTCTTAACCGTTTGGATATAACTTAATTTGATTATTGGTTTATATGTATTATGTGTATGTGTGTGGGTACATTCTGAAATGTATCAACAACAACTAATATATATATATATATTATAATATATATATATAATAATATATATAATTATATAAGTTTGCACACCCAGGAATTGAGCCGTCCCATGGAAAAAAATCGACATTTCCCACTTGCTCCATTTCGAACTGGGGATCCAAAAAAGCTGCGTCCCAAACCGTTGGTTGTCGGATCACCGGTGCCTCTATCCGAGCCGTCAGCCGTCATCCAACGGGGTGATCACCTGTCGAAAGTCTCACCATGGGTGACTAATTTTCCCCATCGGATCGAGTTCATCTTTGTTGATGGTTTGAAATTGCTGGCGAAATATGTTTAACAGTTCGCCATGGTGGCGCCATGGCCCATGAAAATCGATGATTTTCCCAGCTAGAAACCATAAACCTCCATTGATTTTGGGGGATTTTCCAGTTCGCACTGGTGAGTCATGTCCCCACCCAGATGGTGAATCATGACATCGAATCATAAATCCTGCATGAGTTTTCTCCATCGAATGTCCTGAGTTTTCATCTTTTTTCTAGGTCAATCGACTGGATGGATACAAACAAACTAAATCCTAACTAGTCTTTTAAGGTATCAATGGGAATATCTATTGTATATATACTCACCAGCAAAGAATTTGTCATTTTTTGCAGGGTACCTGGCTGATTGGCAATATTTTTTTGTTGTTTCTTTACTCTCCACTTGTAGTGGGGGGGGTACCGCGGTACGTACCATGGTACCAACTTCCGATCGTCTCGTCTGTTAGGTTTGAAGGGCGGCTTCACTCCCATGGGAGGTGCGAAGCGAAGAAATCATGGGATGAAATGCAGATGTTTCTAATTAATAACTATTGATTTAACCATGATTTAACTATGAACATTTAACTATGATTAAACATGATGACCATGATTTAACTATGAGCATTTCAACTATTTCTTATGGCCAATGTCAAAAATGAGGATTTAACTATGATTTAACCATGATTTCACCATGAAATATAGGGATTTAACCCATGATGAATGACGATGACTGATTCGATGGCTTTCGGTTTCGTGAAAAGTTGTGCGTCGCATGTGCGCTCTCTCTCTATCTCTCTGTTTTTTGTTTAACATGTTGGTGTTTGAAGTTGTAGGGGCGTGTCAAAAGCTCATCTAGGTACCAGGGATATCCACGGTAAACCTTGGTTGGGTACATCATATGTATATATATATGTATGAATGATATATATATATATATATGATATATATATTATATATATATGAAATATATATATATAAGATGTATAATTATGAAATATCGTTTTTCTTGGTTGCCATTCGAAGCTATTTTTTAAGTGTCATACCATGTCCCAGGAAGGTGGCCTCAAAGTGCCAGAGAAAGTGCAAGCAGGATGGAAAGCCCATGGCGCCGGGGTGGGACAGCGCGGTGGATTTCAGCGAGGTAACTTGTGCTGTGCTGTGTCAAGCCTGAAATTCAAAACATATGTTTACCTCTGGTTATGACTAACATAGCCATGGAAAATGGCCCATTTATAGATGGTTTACCTGGGTTTACCTATTAAAAATGGTGATTTTCCATGGCTATGTTAAATAACCAGATGGTATTTTGTTTAGGATGAGTAGATTTTTGAAGTGATGCATCTATATCCGTTGGTTGAGCTATGGCTAGTGATCATTATTATCCATAATTATCCATATTGAACATCGGTTTATTTCAGGCTTGGAAATATGATTTCGTTCATGGAGGCGCCCCATTAAAGCCCTGCTAGGAGACTTAAGGAGTGACACAAGCAAGATATCAACGAACACGAAATGGGGGGATACCCGCTGATTCTTTCACAGTTTGCGAACTGGGAAATCAATGAAACATCACATCTTTACTAGGTAAATCATCATTTGTGTCATCTATAAATGACATAAATGGATATTTTAATATTTTAATGGGCCGTTTTCATCCATTCTATTCCATTCTCATGGCTAAATAACCAGAGGGTAGGTGCTTCATCCATTTCTCAGTGAGTCTTAGGACTCCCACGGGGACTGGCGGGTGAACGTGGGATCCCCCTGATGGCCATGGCTGCAGATGTTGCCAAAAAAAACATGTATACTCAGTAATATTGTACCATATAATATATATATATACACTATATATGTATGTGTATATATATAATTATATATATATATTATAAACTTGTCGTTTTACCTCTTTGTCCACTCAGTTTCCTCCCCAGTTACGTATTGTCCGCTGCTTTCCAGGACAGAAATGGACTCCAGCGAAGTCAGTCAAAAGGCAATGTCGAAACGTCGAAACCACAGAACCCGCAAAAAATTGCATGTTGGAAGACACTTTTCAAGAAACATGGAACCTGTTGGACAGGGGGATTTCAATGGATTAATGGGAATAATGTGGGTAAAATCAATGCCACAAACAACCCATGACTGGGAATGGTGACCTTACCACCTAAATAAATCATGTTGGGGGATTTCAATGGATTTCAGTGAGTGATTGGTATTGAATCTGCATTTTCAGGTGGGAAGCAGATGCAGACTGAGCCGAAAGGCATTAGTTGCAATGAGTGTATGATGCAGACTTTGCACCGTGGGTTTCCGAAGCACAGTGGGTTTCCGAAGCACAGTTTTTCCTTTCCAAATGGCTTTGATTCCAGCATTTGAGGAACAACTCTCAGAAACTTATTTTATTAGGCTATACAAGATTCATACAAGCTGGTGCCCGCTTGTTATGCTTGTTGGTTTACCACCATATCGAACTATGGTTTTGTCTTATCCCCAGACCCTAGGTATCGCGGTGTATAAACCAACTTAGCTAACCTGGGGGGGCCTTCCGAGATTTGGGGCTTCAGCCTTCGGCAAGGCCAAAGAGATGCTTTACTACCTGCAGAGCCGCTTGGATGACTGCGGCAAAAAATGGCATTGGAATTGATGATGACAGAGTCTATCATTTTCTGGCATGTACCCGTACCTGAGTTTCTAAACAAACTTAAATCCCAATATTAAGGCCCTACAGAGGATTATCTTAGCAAGTCGCCCTTGTTTCCGCTCCATGAGTTTTCTTTGTACCACATGTTTGAGGCAGGTTCAATCCCGATATATATATATATATACATACCATCTTGTTATTTAACATAGCGAACTGGAAAATCCATTGTAAATGGAGGTTTTAATGGGAACATCATCTGTAAATGGGCCATCTATACCACAGCTATGTTAAATAACCAGAGGGTATACCTATATATATATAACAAATTATAACAATGATATCCCAGTTCAAAGAATTGGATCATTTGGATCCATCGGATATGGCAGAAAAACTGGCAGAACATGTCCTGCAAAGGTAACTGAATCCAATGAGTCTATCATATCCCTATGGATCCAGTCGTACCTTCTGAAAGGAAGTGGGACTGGGGTATAATTTACTATTATTTGGAGGGTTAGTCGTATCTTCTCAGACAGTGGCGATGGATCCATATGGTATTGTATTATCCATTATATCATATGAACTAAACAGCTTTGTAATGACTACCCATGAATCAATGATGACGGGTTATTTATGAAATTCAAAAAAACACCAGCCACAAATCCCAACTGAAAAAATAGCATCCAATATCTTACAAAATCATCGCTGAGTTCCCAGATTTTTTTTTGGGAAACAACAACAGATACAACAGCAAAACTGAAGATAACTGAGAGCTTCCCATTCGAGGATGAAAAACATGGGAAAAAAGGCATGAATACAGGATGGGCCCCCCCAGTGATGTTTGTTGGTTTATAAACCATGAAATAATCCCCAGTAACCAGTTCGTTATATCTACAATAAACCATAGTTAATTCAGCCACTGTAGGGGAACTTCACAGAAATCCCCCATCCATTTCTGTGGATCGAATGGCGTTGAGGCTTCGACCGTGCGCCTTTGCAGCGGTTGAGGGACCGCGCGCCAAGACGGAACCAAGGACGGGAACGGCTGGAATTCTGACGTGTTTTTTTTTGGTTTCCCAGTCCCTATGGATCCAAGTACCTTCTGAAAGGAAGTGGGACTGGGGTATAATTTACTATTCTTTGGAGGGTTAGATATCTTCTCAGACAGTGTTTGGATCCATAGGGAGTGATATCTTTGGCAAATCCCCCCCAAAAAATGGAGGACAGTAAAATCCCAAGGAATGTGGGTAAAACAATGTCATAAACCATCCTGCAGTCATGATTTATTTAGGTGGTAAGGTCACCATTCCCAGTCATGGGTGGTTTATGGCATTGATTTTACCCACATTATTCCCATTACCTATGAAAAAGATGTTAACAGATGGTTTTCCATAGCTATCTTAAATTATTTATGAGAGGGTAAACGTTATTGTTCATATGTGCTATGGTCAAAAGTTGTTGCTCACGGAAGGGGATGGTCATTAATCCATTAGTAGGCTGTTTTGAGTTAAACTGTTTAAGGAATCCCATCCACGATGGTGGGACGACATTAGGCCATTACTCTCATGTAACTTGACCTTGACTTGACACATCATATTGTTGGTTCTTGTTGGTTATAAGTCCTATTCAAGCACCATCTGGTTGGTGGTTGGAACATGTTTTTTTTTTTTTTTCTATCGGGAATCTCATCATCCCAACTGACGAAGTCCATCATTTTTCAGAGGGGTAGGTCAACCACCAACCAGAATAAATATGGCTGGTATACCCCTCAATTATATGGATAATATATAGTAAACCATCACCTTTTTCTAGCCTCATTTATAGATAGTTTTTTTTACCAATACATGTCATAAACGTATCAATTCTCCAACGAGTTGTCCAATGATTCTCAAGGAGACCCAACGGGGATGCAGAGGTCCCCTGGCAGAGACGGTAGGTGGAAATGATGAAGGGGGAGATTTTTTCAATGGTCAAATACATGATATGTTGTTCACATTTAATATGATACATGTTTATGATATTTATATTGTTTTAATTGTTCAATAAATTATAATTTGATATATTTTGGTCGGTGGTTTCAAATCGTGTTTTCATTTTCAACCATATAGACATGGATAGACATGGGATGATGATCCCCAATGATGAACATCTTTTTCAGGGTTGCTTTCAGTCACCAACCAGCCATGGGTCAAAATTGCATCTTTGTTCGATGGCATGAATTTAAATTGAGGTAGGGATAGGCCAGCAAGATTTGTTCCTTTAGTTGTTAAGGCATTTTTTGGGGTTGAACGATTTTGATCCACACACACAATACTTTTGATACTATAGTTTTTGCTAGATGTTGTAATATTTTAGTAAGTCCACGTTGCGTGGGGTTATCCGAATAGTTTAGATGGGTCACATCACGAATGGCTAGGTGACTTGCGCACTTGCTCAAGTTGGACGGTGTCGATTTCTAGCACACCAGAGTCGAGAAATAGGGTTAGGATAGAGTAGGACTTTATTTTTTGGGGGGATTGGGACCTTCCCCCGGTCTCTGAATGTTCAACTTTGTTGGTGCTTGACAACCGGTTTGTAACATTGTACAAGTCCCACACTGATCATCTGGATACATTTAGATATTCCAATTTTTTTCTGGATATAAACAAGCCAACAACAGGTGCAGGCGGAAACATATGTTTGGCGGTATGCCCTACCCTCTTGCAATTTCATGTGGTGGTTTGGGATATGTTCGTCTCTGGTGAGCAAACTATACATAAAAAAAAAGTGTTCTTTTCAACCCAAACCGTTCGTTGACTAGTGACTAGTGGAAAGTTCCAAGGTCTAATGCGGCAATTTTAGTTTCCAGTCCTTTCTTGAGGTACATAGAAGCATCGAACACCTACCCACAAAGCGGATCGAAACACAGAAGCAGTGGCCTATATATGGCGACTCTTCATGGTTTCAAGCATCTTCAGTGCAAAAACCTGCTGGATTATAGCAAATCCTGCTGGATAGCCATAGATTTTTGATGATTTTTGGTGGCCTTGGGTTTATCACATAGCCCACTTGGGAAACGATTTTTTTTGGGGAGCACAACCACCTTTGCCGAGGCGAAAGCGGAGCATTTGCCGCCCATCACAAAGGAAGGTGCCGTGCCCGGGGATTTCTTTGACCTCGATGGCACTGGATGTTCAGCGGAATTTTGAGATGTTTAAGGATGATTTAACAATTTTAAATGATTAAATTGTATGTTTTATGATTTATCCTTGGGATGTGCGTTTTTTGTGTTTTAAAGACTTGGATCCTAACCATTCCTAACCCATGGACCCATGGACTTCGGGGGAACTCTTCAGTGAACTGGGGTTCTGGGATGAGGGAAGTCTCGGATCGCTTGTGGTTCCTATTCTCCACCTGTCATCAGAAAACAAGAATAGGTTGAGGCTATTCAACGTTCGTGTTTCTTTTTTTGTGTGTGGGATGATAAACATGGATAAACATTTGGAGAACATGACCCTCTTGTAATCTAACCTAAAATCAAAACGCTGTCAGATCTTGAACTGATAACTGTGATAACATATTAACATCACCCGTGGACACTGATCGACTCATTGGAAGCGTGCATCTAATCCCGCAGGTTTTTGAGGAACTACGATTCTGTCTTTAACACTTACCCCCTGGTAAACTAACGTAGCGAACTGGAAAATCCCCATTTTTCATAGGTAAGTCAACTATAAATTGCAATTTTCAATGGCTATGTAATGAATTACCAGAGGGTATGACTTATATCCATAAGTCACAGGATGTTATAGAATGTTATAAGATATTAATTGGGGGGTTCTTATACGAATTCCGGGCTTGGAAAGTGCAATTTGTTGATTCCCATGTCAGGTGTCATCCCGACTGTAGCGAATCAACCATGTAATAAGATGATTAATCCGTGTATTTTCCCATTACTTTCCATTATTATCTCATATATTGCCATGATTTATCATTATAGAATGTCCATGAATGTATTTGTGATTTTTGTTACTCTCTGTAAATTGCAACGACCTCACTGTTCTCCCTCCCTGGAATCATGGTTAGGATTGGGGTAACTATCCCAAAATAGCATAAAATAGCCACACTGTTCAGATTAGTGGCATATCATCATTTAAGCAGAATATATAAACATATAATATAAACATATTTCCAATCTATCAATCCATTGATAGTCCATATATATATACATGTATATACACATTCCATGATATTCCCATTATATCCTTATTATACCACCATAATGGCCATAGAATATGTCAATTTAGCCAGATTATTCCCCTACTGCACCTCCCAAGAAGGGCTTGTTCAGCCGCCATCTTGTGCAGGTGGACGCGTATCATCACAGGCTCGGATGCCATTGACATTTACATGTTCTGTCGATCCACGCAATTCCAAGCGCACAGTTTCCTCCAACATCATACTCACATTAATGATTTTTCATATATGTTCATTCGTTTTCCATGACCCCCCCAAAACAAACATCAGGTTTAACTGGCTTTGTCTGAAATTACCCTCTGGTAATTTAACGTAGCTATTGAAAATGGCCATTTATAGTGGATTTAGCCATTAATAATTAATAATGGTGATTTTCCATAGCTACGTTAGTTTACCAGAGGGTAAATAAAATACTCCCCAAATTAGTTGATCAATCACCATGTTCTGACGTGAATTTCCATCGAGAACTGCAACCGATGGATTTCCGACGTCCGCAGCCTTAGGCTGCGGCATGGGCGCAGTTCTTGGAAGAGCGCTTGGGACGACATCTGAGGACTTTGAGGCGGGGACAGCTCTCCAGAGACCCAAATAGGGGGGCAGATTAGGTTCCACCAAAAACTGGTCATTTTCAGAGTCTATATTAGTTTCGAGGAGGGTAACTAAGGTTATAATTGCCATAAATTCAAAGTCAAGCTACGTAGTTAGAATGAAAGTTTGATGGTTGCTTAGTTGGTTCGTATGGACATAACTACACCTCGTAATTCTAGTTATTCTTCCATTTTTGTGAGTACTCGGAGGGTCTAGGTAGTGATACACCCTTTCAACTACCCCAGTATCAGCGGTATGGTGGGGATGTATGAGTCAAACATGGGATGATTTTGCCAAAAACAAATATTGAATTAGGTATTCCGCATGGAGATACCCTCTGGTAAACTAACATAGCTATGGAAAATCACCATTTTTTATGGGAAAATCCACTATAAATCACCATTTTCAATAGCTATGTTAGTTTACCAGAGGGTATAATTATTAATGAATGTGCATGGATATATATATATATATAATCAATGTCAACGAGGGATTAACCCCCAACACATGGGATGCGATGATCATCTGGCTGAATTACATCGCAATGTCACTGGCCCACCTGGCTTTATAGATGATGGTTAGGCTTGGGGGATTATCCCAATATCACTTCATTTCAGGTTGGTGGTTCAGCCCAAACAATAGCAGTGAGATTTATATATATATATGAATATATATGTATATATGCAATATATATATATATATGTTTTTTTCTTGCCTAGTAGCGTTTCCGAAACAATGACCCTCAATTCCACTCCAGTTCTTTTGATGGACTCACCTCTCACCCGGTTCGAACCGGGTAGCGCTGCGCCAGCAAATCGACCCCGCCACCACGCGCAGTGAAGAGTCGGGAGATTCGGAGCCTGCTGTTGGAGTAGTTCCGGTGCATCCTGCTGGCACCGACCTTTCTGGTTTTCTTTTGGAAGGGTTCAACTCAGTTAAGGCCATAAAAATTACTTATAACTGGTTATACTGTAAATGGGATTATACATTCTATAAATGGGGTTTTCTTAGTACTTATAACTGGTATTTCAGGCCATAACTGTAGTGATACACTATAGTGTCTTTAGTATAGCAGTTTCATGCATTTTCCATGCATCCAAGTAGGTGTCAGGCGGGGTGACGACGGCACCAACGGATTTGTGAATTGCTCAGCGCTTTTATCCGGCAAAAGCCGTGGTACGAGGATGGGAGCCCAGTTTGCGGCATAGCATTGAGCCCAGGTGCGACATGAAACATAGACCAACTAATATACTGTAAATGATCTGTGATCACAGTAGGGAGCAGCAAACTCTGATTCTAAAGGAGAAAGCTCAATCCTATGTATGTCACAACAAGAAGTTGGTCCCTTTTGGGACTTGTGATTTTTAAAATCCTGCGGTTTGTGGGAGTGTTTCGAGGATGCGGCAACCCAAACACTTCCTGGGATGATATGTTTCGTTCCTGGAAGTTTGGGAGCAGCGGAGCGGCTTCACTGAATCTCAGGCTGTCTTTTGCTGTTCAACTCAATGTGTGCCAAAAATGATATGGGTCAAAATCGAGGTGACCTCAGGACCACAGATGGACTGGACTAGTGACTAGTCATTTGGCCCATCTTTTCCCAACACACTGCCAATATGAATGAAAGACAATAAAGCATCATTAGTAGCCTCCTAGTGGGGCATATGATTCCTGTTTGAAAAAGAAGGTCCTGGACCTGTTTGTTGAAATCTGTGTTATTTCTGCAGAGAATGTCAGGTGTTATAAGTCCTTCTGGCGGATTCACATTGGAGTTTGCAGGTAATATAAGATAGATTAACAACTTAACAAGATGAAAAGAAACTGAAAATTCCTGCAAAGTAAGCAAAACCCATTGGAATCCTATGAATCCCTTCGTTGTTGAGCCAGGTCGGCTGGTTTCCGCCCAGTGTTCCTCGCAGAAAAATTATTCTCTGGGCCAAGTTTTTACGGTGCGTCGAAGATGCGCTTGGCCAAGGTTTTCAAGTCAGTGGAAGAGGTACCCGGTGCCGTGTGTCAACAAATTCAGATCCTTTGAAAACATCGTCAAGAAATTAAATCGTCTGCATATGTCTGCATTTTAGATGTCCATATATCCTTTAGATGTCCATATATCCTTTAGATGTCCATATTATAGCTGGTTGGTGGTTTGGAACATGATTTGTTTTTTCATAATATATGGGATAATCCTTCCCATTGACTAATATTTTTCAAGATGGTTATAAATATGTATTATATATATATATTATGCGTCATTATAATTATACCTCCTTTTTCAATGTACTGGGAGGGTTCAGGTACTTTGTTTAGGGGGCACCACCCCCAAAAAAAGATGTATTTGGGATTCGGGAGGGAAAAGGATGATTAACCAGTGGATCCAATTTTCAGTCAAACCCGTCAAACACAGAAAAAAATCAGGGGATTTAGCCTGGGAAAAAAGCCCATGAACCTCGCCCTCATAGAAATTTAGCCAGCTAGATTCTCGGCCTTGTACGTAGTACAACCCCGGATCTTTCATATTTTGGTCTCTTTTCCATCTGACCTCTTTCGCGTTTTGACCTCTGCACGAAAGTCTGCGCAGAGTGACAGCGCCCAAATCTGCACATAAACCACCCGTGGCTTGCCCACGGTTGAAGAACGGCCGTGGACCTTCGGACTTTGACCGAGGAAAAGATTTGTCTGTCAAGAAGCTGGGCTCAAGGGAAGAATCTGGAGCGAGTATCGAAGATTTGCCATGAGATAAAGCTGACAAAAAAAAAGCATGGTTTCGCATTTTCCCATCAACGGTTCCTTGAACTTTCAGGCAGTTTTGTGATCAGTGAAATCTTTGATGCAGCCAACAGGTCAGGATTGGCCGATTGCTCTTCAGTGTTTTGGTTCAGTTCCCCGTCGAACCGCTGTGGCACTTTTCGTCAGTCTTCCGGTCGGGTCGTCTCGCCATGGCACTTTCGCTTGGACGGCGCTTTGGGCGGAAGTCGACTCTTCGTCGTCTCGTGGCTTGGTGACGATTCTGCAGCTGTTTTGATCATGGGGAGGAAATCTATGAAACATGGCGGCCACACTGGGAACTGATGAACATTCTGAGATGTAAACAATATTAAGTGCCCAATTTAATGTTTAATTTTGGCTATTGAATTAGTATGTCATTCCCCAAAATATGAAAAACACCCAATAGTTCGCCAAATGGGATCCAATGGGTTTATAGTTATATATACGTGGGCTAACGATTGGGCTCGTGGCTTCTAAGTTCGGAGGATTACCAACACTCCACAACGGGTATACTGGCGTCCTGAGCCGCCTCAAGAAATGGTTTGTTTTGCCTTGAGTCCCACTTGGTTTGAATATCACCCATGTTGTGCAGCTATGGCCCTTTATCAGTTATAAGTACTTATAACCCCATTTATAGAATGTATAATCCCATAGAAATAACCAGTTATAAGTATAATAAATGGCCTTAACTGTGGGATGTTCAATTCTGGTCTCTGAATGGTTCCCACATATTCGAACATCTTCCATAATAAAGAATGGCACATTTGGACAGTGCTTGTTTTTTGATGTTTCTGGGTAAATTAGCCTCACTACGACCTCATTGGGAATCATGGTTAGTAAGGGAAATCATCCCAAAATGGCCTTAATTCAGGTTAGTGAAATATTATAATTTACCCAGATGTTTTTTGTTCTATTGTGACTATTATTAAATTATAACTGAAGATCCTCATTGAGGAATCCTCATTGTTTTTGAAAATTGCACATACGACTATACGACGGTTAAAAAACAGCCGTTCCGACAGTCAAATCCCTTCTATTTCAGCTGAGATGAAGGAAAAAACACGATTTTTCCGTGGGACGAGAGGTGCATAAAGACCTATTCATATGGTAAACCCAATAGTAAACAATCATCCCCAGTCATGGTATAATGGTATAATGCATAATGGAAATCATCCATATTGATCATCATTTATATTTTACCATCCATTTATTCATGACAATCATCCCCAATAATGATCAATATTGCCATAAATGGATGGTAAACATCATCCCCAGTCATGGTAGGTTTCTGGCATTGGGTTTATATACCACATACCTTTGGTACCTCCAGTTTGGGGTCTGGAATTTTGCCTTTGACTAAAGGCTAGTTTTCTACCCTTTTCGGCTCACAGTTCGGGGAATATTATCACCACGACCGGGATGACGCTAGGTAGGCTAGGTACCTCCATTGTAGCTAATGTGGTAAGACCTAGCCGGAAATCAAACATGGCAATTTCACCCAAGAGATGCAAAAGTTGAAGGCGCCAGGAGCTGTCAAGAGCCACACAGCTGTCAAGGCTTCGAAGCCAAGTTTTTTCGCTTGACTCCGGACCGAAGGTGAAGCCAGTACAGGGGTCAACCGAAAAAGCCAGGTTTGACATTGTGGATGTATTAATGATATATATATATGTATATATATTTTTGGTGGGTGATTTGGAACATGACTTTTATGACTTTCCATATCTTGGGAATGGAAAATCATCCCAACTGACGAACTCCATCATTTTTCGGAGGGGTAGGTATACCACCATCCAGATATATACTAAATATATACGTATATTATCATTATGAATATACATATGCATGCACAGCAAAAAATCCCCATAACATATCACATTAATCCACATATGCCCATTCATATCCCTATCAAATGGTTGCTTAGTATATATTATACATTATATGTTTCTAAGTCCAGTAGTAGTATTATTGTTGTTACTATAGTCATGACAAGAAATATAAAAACTACTTTTGTATCAATATGTAATACATAACAATATCACATCAATCAATAGAAACGATAACACTTATATATCTATCATATTATAATATATATGTTATAACTATTATATATCAATCAAGTATAACTATATTTATATGGGTATGTCTGAAAATGGGGTATACCCCCAATTGTAGCCATTTAGTAGGGATAATGATCATTAACC